GCCTGGTGCAGAAAACATGCAAGTGCTTCAAACAAACAAAAAAAGCAAACCAAACATTGTCAGAGATTCAACAGCCAAAGAAGGAACACAAGAACAAGAAACTAAGGTATAAAATAAATGATACAAAGAAACAACTGGCTGGGTCAACGGCAGAGAACAGACGCATCTTTGGTGCAAGTGTTTATGCAGCCACTCAGCCTGTGTGTGTAGCATACACTTCCACAAGCCCACCGTGTGATGTACACAATGACTTTCTTCTAAAAGTACAGTGTCGAAGCAGGTGACCACTCCCTGGAGCCAGGAGACCCTGAACAACATCAAGAGCATCACTCACACCCACAGCAGGCTCCTCTGGGGGCCTTCCTTCTCGAAGCCTGTGACTCAGTTTGCTCACAAGAAAGAGACACATCTCAACCAGGAGGTTCTTCTGCAGAATAACTGACGAGTAATCCTCAAAACCATCAGGGTCACCTAAAACAGGGACATTCTGAGAAACTGTCACAGCCCACAAGAGGAGCCTCTGGCTGGATGTTCTGTGCTATCCTGGATAGGATACAGAGGAAGGGCTTTAGGAAGAAACTGAAAATCTGAACAAAGTAGGGATTCCAGTCAATGGTGAGGTACTGACACCTGCTCATTAATCATGGCAAATGTTCTATCGGGAAACTCAATGGTGTCTCAAAAGAGCTATAAACCTAAAATTGGGGAGGGGGTTAAAGATTTATTTAGTTTTGCATATGAGTGGTCTATTTGCATGTATGCCTACATGACAGAAAAGGGCACCAGATCTCATTTTAGATGTTGTGAGCCACCATGTGGTTGCTGGGAATTGAACTCAGGACCTCTGGAAGAGGAGTCAGTGCTCTTAACCTCCCAGCCAGCTCTGCAGCCACCACCACCCCCAAATTTGTTTTTAATACTTTTTGAGCCAGTCTCACGTATCCTAGGGTGGCCTTGAACTCACTAGGTATCAGGAGTGACCCTGAACCTCTGACCCTCTCACTCTACCCCCTAGCACTACCATTACAGGTGTGAGCCATCAGTTGTCATTTATGCAATGCTGAGGATTGGACCCACATGGACATCATGCATGCTAGGCAAGCACTTTCATCTGCACTGCAGCCCCAGCCGCTAAAATACTTTTAAACCACCAACATTTCAAAATAAAAAACTACAGGCGCATGTAGATACCGCAAGACTTATCAAATACTAACTCTGAAAACACAGATTACATAATTGCCAGAGGTTTCAGCATCTCCCAACTGTTCCCCAATGCTGTATACACTCTGGGCAGGGAGTTTTCCAAAGCTGTTCTGAGAATTCAACTAAAAAGAGGCAGGGGATAGAAAAGTGTCAGCGGATACTTACTTCCACATAGCAATGGTGATAAATTCCCAAGAATTGCTCAAAAGTAGGTAAGAATTTTGTCTGATGGAAAGCTAAACTGCCTCCTAAGGGAGTCACAAGTGGCAGTTTGTGGACTGAAACTGGTGTGCAGACATCTTGCAAAATACAATTATTGATCCATTAACTGTCGGGTTGTGATGAGTGGATGACACAGGCCTGTATGGTGAATAGAGTGGTGGGTGAGGTGGGTGTGTCGATGCAGCATTAGGCTGTCTCTGACCTTCTGACAAGACAGGGAAAGGGAGCCACCCACGCCACAGTTATGATGGGTGTCAGGAGCAGAGGGTAATGGTGGCTGGGACAGCTCAGGACCTTTTTCTTTTAGTTTCTTGCTCTGTAGACCAGGCTGGCCTGGAACTCAGTCATTTGCCTGCCTCTGCCTCCTAAATGCTGGTATTAAAGGCTTACACCACCACTGTCCAGCATTTTTTAAAAATAAACACTGTAATCACCATATCTGGAAAAGGTGATATTCCGTTTGTTTGTTTGTAACAGTCTCATCATGCAGCCTGGCTAGCCTGGAGTTCTGCTTCCCCGGTGTTAGGATTAATGACATGTGCCACCCCACCTGGTGAAAGGGAGGAGATATTTCCTTAGGGATCCATGTTGGGGAAAGAGAAAGGATGAATCCCTGGTGCCAAATAAAACAGAAACTTGTCCAGAGATTTCAGTTTTTACAAAGTATCAGACCACCGTACAGGGCAGACTGGAGCAAGGACAATGGCAGGCCAGTGACAGAAGGGATGATAGCCTGACCTGGACTGCTTAGCTGTGCACACCTCTACCCCCCTACTTAAGCTGAGACCCCACATCAGTATTCCAGGAAGGGACCTGGAAGTCACAGGATCCTTTTATTTGTTCCTTTTCCCAATGTGGGCACACTGAACAATCTACTCTTACTGCTAGTCACTATCAGTTGTCTCATAAATTGAAATATTGGTGACCAGTGACCAAATCTACCTTGTTGGTACTGACAGAACCCAGATTTTGACCCTAAAAACTCCAGTTAATAAAAACCTTTCAAAAAGATATTGCAAGATGCCAGGTATGGTAACATATGCCCTTTGTCTCAACACTAGGAATGCAGGCAGATCTCTGTGAGTTCAAAACAGTCTGGTCTATGTAGTGAGTTCTGGGTCAGCCAGAACTACACAGTGAAACCCTGTCTAAAGAAAAAAAAAAAAACCTCTTATTTTTTAATGGCATATCAATCTGAAGTTGTTAATTCATCAATAATGCTTGCAAGGGCTACACTCCTTAAGTGATCTCATGGATGACTTTAATGTCTTCTATCCAAGGATCATAATCCATAATCTTTTTTTTTTTTTTTCAGTTTTACAAGACAGGGTTTCTCTGTAGCTTTGGAGGCTGGCCTGGAATGCTCTCTGTAGACCATGCTGGCTTCAAACTCACAGATATTTGCCTGCCTCTGCCTCCCGAGTGCTGGGAAAAAAGGCGTGCGCCACTACCACCCAGCTATAATCCATAATCTTATTCTTTGGGGCATGTGGAGTTTGAAACACACTGGCAAAATCTGATGATGACCACACTGCTAGCTCTGCTTCACCGTCATCTGTCATCACAGAAATTAACATCTTCCAATTCCTCGCTTGTTGGCACTTTGCAATGGCCTTCGGTGTGTTCTTCTGCTTCTGCTGGGTATCTGCAGGAGCTTCCTTGGCAGCTACAGTCTCTATGGAGAGCTTTTCAGAACAAATCATTCCTAACCCTATGTAACCAATTCTTACTCCCAAAAAGTGGCTTTGTATTCTTGTGTCAGGGCATGCCTGACTGAAGCCTTCACACAGGCATAAAGGTCTGACATATGACATTCTTTTCTTTTAAGAAACATTTTTTCCTTTATGCACATTGGTGTTTTGCCTGCATGTATATCATCTGTATGAGGGTGTCGGGTACCCTAGAACTGGAGTTAGACAGTTGTGAGCTGCCATGTGGGTGCTGGGAATTGAACCTGGGTCCTCTGGAAGAACAGTGTTCTTAACTGCTGAGCCATTCTTGTCCATGTCTTTACTCACAAATCTAATGGCACCTTGGCCTTAAGTAAACACTTACTAGGCACTGTGGCCTTAACCTGAGCAACTTGAGGTACAAAAGCAAAACTACCACTTATTTATTTAAATTTCAGAAAGGTTCTGCTTGCTATGCAGCCAAGAACGGGAGTACAGGAGTGTTGTACTGCACAGGTCTTATGCTGGGTGCTATGGATAAAACCCACGGCTTCCTGCGTGCTGGGCAAGCACTCTCCCAACTAAACTACACACCAGCCCTGATTTTTAACTTTGTAAAGATTTATTTTTAATTATGAGTAGTGGCTTGTGTCTGCCTGTATTGTGCACATGCCCTGAAGCCCAGAAGCACTGGATTCTATGGAGCTGGCTGGGAGCTGCCTGATCTGAAATGGGGCTCTCTGGGAGAGCAGCACCGAGCCCTCTCTCCAACCCTAATTTGTTTGTTTTTACACAAGGTCAGGCTATTTGGCCCAGGCTGACTTCAAACTCACTATCCTTCTACCTCAAGTCTCAAATGCTGGGAGTACAGGGGTGCAACACTGTAGTCAGCACACATTTTTTTTCTTAATTTCACAGATACAAGATTTGTTCTTGTAGGGCAGTGGTGGTGCCCACCTTTAATGCCAGCACTCAGGAGGCAGAGGCAGGCCGATCTAGAGTGAGTTCCAGAAGAAGCCCTGTCGCAAAAAAAAAAAAAAAAAAAAAAAGCAAACAACAAAAGATTTGTTCTTACCAAAGATTTTAGAAACTTTAGCCTAATGGCTCAAGCACCTTTTTACCTAACAGTAGCACTTTTTGGCTTTGTTTTGGCAAAACCCAAGGCTAGCATTACTACTCTTGTGCTGATTACAGAGGGTTACTTGAACACAGTTGTTCTGAGTGACTAATGAGTGGGTAGCATACATCGGGATCCGCTGAGCAAGATGATGTATATGCAGAGCAGGAAGGGGGGAAACTTCATCATGATACTCTTTCTGGGGCGCCGGGCAGAGCAGTACAGGGAACTGAACACCGGACCCAAGCACGCCGGGTAAGCACGCTACCACTGAGTTCTTCCAGACGCCATTCAAAAGCACACAATTTAAAAGCCACGAGCTGTTTCTTTTCTGGAGTCTTCCGCTTACGATTTTCAGGTTAACTAAAACCGCGAATAAGTGGGAGACCATTGCACCATCCTCCCTTTCTCTTAGAGTTTTCTCTCAAGTATGATCTGTGCACCTAAGCACTTTCACATTCACGGTCTCTTCATCTCTGCACAGGCCTATGTGCCCCTTCGCGGAGGAGGTAACTGAGACAGGAAAATGCCAGATGCCCGAGGTTACACAGCTACGCAGGGCACCCGCGAGATGCCATGCCCGGGCTCCACCTGGCGGAGGGCGGGCTGGGCCCTGGCCTCGAAGAACCCGAGCTCTGGTTCAGGCCGAGGCCCCGTCTCCTCGGCACGCAGACTGCCCACCGCAAGTAACTTTCCTCCGCAGCCCAGGGAAGCCGCTGCGGCCCGAGCTCCGCCCCGGTCCCGCCCGCCGGTAAGCCCCGCCGAACCCCCGGCACCTGAATACTTACCTCCAGCGCCGGCGATCCTCTGCACCGGAAGTGTTTCCTCGTGACCCGGAAGCGATGCGCCCAAAGCATCCGCAGGTTCCGCTCTGCCGGCTTTACTGGGTGTGGGCCTTCCTCGCCCTCCTCTGCCTGATCTTCCCTAAATGCATACTGCAGGGTGAAGCTTTAATGGATTTTTGTTTGACTTGAGACAGGGGCTCACAGTGTAGCCCCGACTCGCCTCCAACTTGGAGCAGTTCAAGTTACAGCCTCCACACTGTTTAGAAAGAACTTGGTTCGAATCTGAGCTAGAAACCCACTGTATAAGAGGGAGGACAAACAGATTCTCGTGTTATAATTCAGACAAAAAGAAATCACTATAATATATTAAAAAGCAGCCACTGAACGTCTCTGCTCCTCTGGAATTTATAGTCAGAGAATGGAATCACATAGTGGATATGAAATCCATAATGTGCTAAGTGTTACAGAGTATTGGGTTAAGTGAGACAGGTCAGTTCAGCCGGCGAAAGGGGGCCGAGTTTAGGCAGAGGGGGTAGCCAGCCTCCGCAAGGGGCAGGGATGTTACAGGTGCCTAATAGTCTTGCCTTTTATAGTCTCCTATGCTAAATGGGGCTGAGTGTGACCCATAGGATATTGGAAAAATACATGGCTTGCGTTCCAAGATTAAGTCAGAAAAACACTGTGACTTCCTCTTTGCTCTCTTGATCACTCATGGGAAGTCCCACATCGTGAGGTTCACATGGGCAGTTACCAAGCCTCCTGTCAACAACTAACTCAGCATGGAAGCCAAACGGATAAACTGTCTCCAGAGTTCACCCTCCTGTCCCAGGTCAGCTGATGGCGGCCCTGACCCCTGAGTCTTTTAATCGTGTGTTGGTGTGGGTGGGTGGGTTCGGGTGTGGTGTGTGTACACGTGTGCGTGAACCTGTCAGGTGTCCAGCTCTATCACAGTCCATGTCACTCCTCTGAGGTAGGGAAGCCCCGGCAGCCTCCTTCCTCTCTGCTTTGGCACTGGGGTTAAAGGTGTGTGGGTGGCCACACCTGGCTTTGTACGTGGGTGCCTGAGATTCAAACTCAGAACTCCATGCTTGCCCAGCAAGCACCCAGTGAGCCGTCCCCACTACCCAAATCAGTTGTGTGTGTGGACTTCTGACCTTTCTTTTTCTTTTCCAACGCTGAGGATGAGGATGAAACTTTACACTTGCTGCTCCAGACTCCTGCTGCTGTGACTTCCTCCTAATGGCGAACTATAATCATCAACTAGGAGCCAAAACAAACTTCCTAAGCTGCTTCTATCAAAGTATTCTATCACAGCAGTAAGCAAATAACTAAGGGCTGGAGAGATAGCCCAGTGTACTTGCTACGCTTGCAAAAGGGTTTGGGTTCCATTTCCAGCACCCGCATGGTAGCACAAAATCTTCTAACTCCAGTTCCAGGGGATCAGAAGCTTTCTTCTGGCCTGTGTATAAAGAAAACATACATGTATATTTTTAACTACATAGAAAGCCCCAGCCCGACTACATGATGAGACAATGTCGTGTGTGTGTATGTGTGTGTGTGTGTGTGTGTGTGTGTGTGTGTGTGTAAAGAAAAACTAAACAAAAGAAAGAAACGTAGCTAATACAGAGATGGAGCTTGAGGTCTGAAGGGAACAAATACAGGACTTGCCCTAAAGGGGTCAGTATGAAGCCTGGGTAAGGACAATGATCTTTTGGGGATGTTTGGTTTTTTGTTGTTTTGTTTTTTGAGACAGTGAGAAAGATGGTTTATTGTACACGGGTTACACTTGGCCACAAAGTGAGAACAGAACGAGTCCAGAACGCGGCAGGTCCGGGCAGAGGGCCAGCAGGACTGTTTGAGTTGTGGGTAGTAAGGAAGGCCCGCAAGTCTCGAGGTAGTGTCTCTGCGAGCAGACGCTGAGGTTCCAGGTCCATTGAGACTTACATGGATGGATAGTAGCACACAGTCCAACAACTTGTACCAGCGTCCCGGCCCGGCCTTCCAGCATCCTGCACTTCTGCTCCTCCGCCTCGATGGGTGGACCCACAGCCGATTTACCCGGACCTCTCTGCCTCATCTTTCTTCCCTTGTGCTCAGCCTACGCATTCGCTCCTCCCTCCACTTCGCTCTCATGGCACAGGAGTCCCAAGGAAGATGGCGCTAAGGCTGAGATCGATGTTTGTTTTTGAGACAGGGTTTCACTATGTCACCCTAGCTGGACAGAACTCTCTACATAGAGTTAGCTTGGAACTCACAGATACCTGTCTGCCTCAGACTCCCTAGTCCTGGGATTAAAGGTGTGAGCCACCATGCCCAGCATGGAAGATGTTTGATAAGTTGAGTTATATATCCTCTACCTGAAGATATATTGGAACCAGCCTTCACTACAGAATGTGATTTTATTCAGAGACAGGATCCTTTGGGGGGGGTTACAGAAACATTATTGATGGTAATCAACAGAGTATGACTCCCTAAGCTCCTCCTTCCAAGGGTTTGGGATGGAAACCGTGAGGGAAAAGATACTCAGAATGGTGGGGAAAGTTGGACAGGGACTCCTCAGTGGTCGAGGACCTCTCCCTCTCATGATCTTGCTGGGGTGGGTGGTCCAGAGCTTCTTAGGGAAGACCATGATCCACCACCCTGTTGCTGTATTCGTAAGTCAGCTGGACATGGTGTGTCACACCTGTAATCTCAGCATTTTTAATTCCAGCACTCAGGAGGCAGAGGCAGGAGAATCTCTCTGAGTTCCAAGCCAGCCTGGTCTACATAGCAAGTTCCAGGGCAGCCAGGGCTAAATAAAGAGAACTTGTCTCAAACAAACAAAGAGGACCAAGGAGATAGCTGATTCTGTCAAGGTGCCACTGCACCTGTCTGGTAACCTGAGTTCAGTCCCTGGAACCCACCTAAAAGTAGAAGGAGAGAACCTGCTCCACAAAGTTGTCCTCTGACCTCCACATGTGTGCCTTAGCATGTGTGCCCTCCAGCCGACATCATTCACTCACATACATGCACACACGATAATAAATATATGTTTTTAGTAATGAATTTTATTTCTATTCTATGGACATTGTTGTTTTGCCTGCATGTATGACTGTGCAGGGGTGTTGGGATCCCTGGAAGTGGAGTTGCAGACAGCTGTGAGATGCCATGTGAGTACTGGGAATTGAACCTGGGTCCTCTGGAAGGACAGTGCTCTTAACCACTGAGCCATCTTTCCAGCCCAATAATAAATATTTTTAAGAGAAAAATAAGTGCTGGGCAATGATGGTGCATGCCTTTAGTCCCAGCACTCAGGAGGCAGAGGCAGGCAGATCTCTGTGAGTTTGCGGCCAACTGGTCTACAAAGTGAGTTTCATGACAGCTAGAGTTGCTATACAGAGAAATCCTGTTTCAAAAAACTGAGGGGTGGGGGCTCAACTGGATAAATGTTAAAATCTAATCTAAATGTCTAGTCTAAAAAGAAGGGGTTTGGACACAGATACACACATGAGGATGTCATGTGAAGATGAAGGCAAACACAGAGGGATGCTCCTATAGGTCAGGAAACAACAGAAACCCCCCAGCCAAGCCACCGGGAGCTGAGACAGCCACAGAATAGATTTCTCAAGCCTTCAGAAGTGCCACCAGTCTACTTGGTTTCAGACTCCTGGCTAATAAAATAAACGTCTGTTGCACAAGCCACCTAGTGTGTGACATGTACAGTGTTTTGACAGCCTAGCTCTAGCAATGCTAATGTAGGTACACAGTGCTTTGTGAAACCTGTTACTACCTGTCTCCAAATGTAAAAAAATTCTGTGTGGCTGCTGCAGGCATAGTTACTTCCTTATTTTCTGGAAGTGCCTAGAGGACTCCCGCTGAGTTTAGCTTTGCCTGTGCCCTGCAAGTCTCCATTAGTATACAGCACAGCTCTGTGACAGGTTTGTCTCTAACCATGTCTGTGATGTCTAACATGGCTCAATATGGAACAGGGTAAACATTGCCCTCATTTAGCTCCTCCATGCTCTCCCCACCTGATGGACTAAAGCTTGGAAAGCATGAGTAAAACAAATCCTTCCTCCCTTTAAGTTATTCCAGTCAGGTATTCTGTCATGATAATGAAAAAGGAATCCCAGGACCAGTGAGATGGTTCAGCAGGTAAAGGTACATTCCACATAAGCCTGATGACATGATTTCCATCTGTGGAATGAATCCACAGCTGAACCAACTCAAAAAAACAAAAATTGTCTTCTGACTCACACACACACACACACACACACAGGCATGCAGGCATGCAGGTGTGCACACAGACTATTAAAAGTAACTAATACGTTAGATACAGGGACAGGAATATAGAGGTGGGTACAAGGGCACGTTTTCCATATACCAGTCTTTACCATTGTTGGTTCCCAAGCCTGGGATGGAGGCCACAGAAAGACAGCTCAGATTGAGGGGAGCAGGAGAGAAAAGGGTTTCCTCACCCTGGAGTCTTGCCAGCTACATCAAGAATTTCAGTGCAAGTATCAAAATTTGCTGAGAGCCGGGCGTTGGTGGCGCATGCCTTTAATCCCAGCACTCGGGAGGCAGAGACAGGTGGATCTCTGTGAGTTCGAGACCAGCCTGGTCTATAAGAGCTAGTTCCAGGACAGCCTCCAAAGCCACAGAGAAACCCTGTCTCGAAAAACCAAAAAAAAAAATTTGCTGAGAAAAGTTGCCTGCATATAATTCCTTTTATACAATGATATAATGTTAAATTATTAATGACCCATACTAAAAGCTTGAGTGTCTGTGACCAAATGTGGCCTTCTCCTTTTCCACTTGAAAGCCTACTATGTTCTAGATATTTCATAAGCAAGACTATAAACTCTGTTTACAGTAAAAACAAAACAAAAAAAGCTGGGTGGTGGTGCTGCATGCCTTTAATCCCAGCACTCAGGAGGCAGAGTCCAAGGCCTGAGTGGTAACCCTTGCATAAACTCTATGGCACATGGTTTTGCTTTATTAGCCTGTCATCCTTTCCAAGGAGCCTAGGAAGCATCCCATGATCTCATTTATCAAGAATGAGGCAAATGGGTAAGACAGATTGTAGAAACCTTCTGAATAATGTAACTTCAGAAGCCATTAAAACAATGTACTGCTGAGACACCGGAGCCCATGCCTACACTTGGGTGTGCACTTTCTCCAGCCCCTCTGTATCAATCCCTGTGCTTAGATCTACGTTAAAACCTCTTCCTAATACACTCCAACCTGGCCTC